AACAAAGGTTAGCCCCGTGTAATAGATTCATCCCTGTTATAGGAAGGAAGACTTTCCACTGCTGCCTTTCAACAGGAGATGAGTGTCACCTCGATGTCCATTTGAACAGGAGCAATAGAATAACCCCATGGGACTGTTGGCCAGTTGAAGGTGTGGATGCTGAATCAGCATCGGCCGCTCCATTCTCTTAAAATGCCTTCATGACTACGTTGGTGTCTCTGTCTCAATTCACATCGAGATGACCTTTAGAACCTCCAAAAGTCGAGATTGAAGATCCACCACGGACTTTGGCGTCAATCGCAAGCAACGATTCTACCAGAATGAAGTTTACTAAATCGCAAATGTGAAATGAAAGTCCCTGGCTGTGCGTTCAAACCGGGATTCGATGGCCCTGAGCCCTTCCTGAAAACTCTGCTTTTGCGAAGGATGACTACCGTTTGGCCTCCGGCAAAGTGATACGCAATTTTATTAGTCATTGAGGGATGAAGGGATTTAAATTCGGAACCATACGACTGTGAGTCAGAGAGTTTGACACGATGCCACCTGGTGAAGGAAAGAGGAAAAAAAAACGTTGGCACAATCAGAATCAGAATCCTTATTGTTACAATCACAGTCATGTCTCGTTGGCGAGATGTTAACTACCTCGCCTGGTCATGGGTTTGATCCCGACCTTGATGTCTGCTGTATATATTTTGAGTTTGCATGTTCTCCCCGCTTATTTTTTATCCGGGTCCTCCGTGTTTTCCCTCCACATTTAGAGACACGCGTTTCGAGTATTTGGCTGCTATAAATGTCCACGTGATAAGCCACTTTATTAAGCTGTCATTTGTGGCCGCTTCTGAAATAGAGCGATGCAGGTCAGTGGGCCTTAGCTAGCAATGTAAAAAGAGTTTAGTTTTAGTATTAGCGACGTTATTATTGTTATTGTTACTTTGAGCATTAATACCTGGCATGGGTCATGGGTAATTGAAATATAATTTCAATGATAAATTGGTTTTACGTGTGTCACAATGTTTCACTCTGTAGCAAGGCAATACAAATCATGGTTGTTATATTTTTTAATTAAAACTACTGGTAATTAATTATTGAACAATCCCCCCCCCCACCCACCATGGTGTAAGGCCACCCTTACGTTATATAATTGTTGTTATTGTTAATGATTATCGCGGTAGATGGATGTGGGCGACAGGATGAATGGCTGCTATTGTACGCAGTAGAGAGCTTTACATCAGCGAAGTAACTCCACGGGAAAGCGTTTGGCTCTTCTTTCTGATGAAAGAACAACAGCTGTCAGCAACACACTGTCTTCAAACATAAAACAATGTGAATGCGTCACTTTTTAAGGCAGTGCAATGGCAACATGAGTGTTTTTGATTGTGTGTATTCTTGACTACCGTTGACCTTGCTGAGCATTTCAGGGGGGTGGGGGGGATAGAGTAAACAACTTGGAAGCAAGTGCTGTCGATGTCATCAGAAAGAGAAGGTTGTGATCGGTGGGTTTCTGAGACTCCTAAAGCCAGATCGTGGGACATTCTCGGGTCACACTTTAAAGGTCATTTGTCAGCTGTGCTTCAGTTGAGTTTTTTTTTTAAAGAAGAAAGGAAGCAATGGTGAGTGGCGGTGGTGGCGGTGGCATTGTCAATACTGGCAGTGATGAGTTCTCCTCCCTTGATGTACTGGCTTGGCAGCTTGTTATTTCTGTGTCACCGTGACGTGATACAAATTTGTACGACTGGACACCGTTCCTGGTCATATATTTGCAGTTGCTTGTACAATGGCTGCTTTCAAAACCGCATTCCTTCAACATCACAAACCAATTTTTGGCTTTTGAAGTTACATGAAACAAGCAGTTCCGTACGCACGCATTCATAATGCGAGTTATGTTTAATACAGAGCAAACTAATGAGAGGCAATTGTCAATGACGTGTTCGGGAATGCATGAGGAAGGCTACACACAGTCTTGTCGCGGTAATCTTCATTAAAATTCACGGCCAAGGTGCGGTAAAAAAAAGACACAAATTCATGGAAATGTCACAACGGAATTAGGCGGAGGAGGAGGAGGGGGGGGGGGCAAGAAGGCCGTGCCCCCTCGTCCCTCATGTACTGCATAGAAAAAGAAAACGCGGTGCCTCCTTTGTGGCGGTGTGTGTGTGTCTGGGTGTCGTGGGATGCGGTAGTGTAGTGGTTAGCGCGTTGCGCTATGAACCCCGCGACCTGGGTTCGATTCCCGCTCACGGCCAACACTGGTGACGATTATCTGAACCGGTCCTGGGGCTCCCCTAGGTCGACTCAGCCTCAAATGAGTACCTGGTGCGGTGTGTGAACATCGCCACTGGGGAGACAAAGGCGGTCGGGCGTGGTGCTGGCCACACCCACCCCCTCGTGTACCGTTTCGGCCTTCATAGGCGCTCGCTAACAGCACTTGCTCCCTACAGCCTTTAAGGCTATACGGGGGATCTTTGTCTTTGTCTGGGGGTGCTCTCCGTGTTACGATCCGTCTGTCTGTCTGTCCGCATGTGCGTGTCTCTGGGTGTGCGATTAATTATCTGAACCGGTCATGGGCCTCATATGAGTCACTGGTGCGGTGTGTAAACATCGCCACTGGGGAGACAAAGGCGGCCGGGTGTGGTTCTGCCCCCCCCCGCCCCACAGCACTTGCCCCGGTAGTCTGTTAAGGCTATACGGGGGATCTTTGTCTCTCGGTGTGCACTATGCTACGATCCCTTTGTGTGTCCGTGTGTGCGTGTCTTTGTCTCTGTGCTACCATCCCGTGTCTTTGTCTCTGTGCTACCATCCCCGGCTATTGGTCAGTGGGAAATAGCTTCTGAAGCTGCCGAGACCTCCTTTTGGTTTACTCAGCACCATGTGGGCATTGGTCCGTGCTGGTTTTATAAATGCAATGTAGAGCATGGTCGGAATGCTCACGATTTCGTCAGAGCTGAGCCGAAATCAAGCCGTACGACCCTCGCCTCACAAGACGTGTGACTAATGCACGAAGTTAAGCTGTTTTATTTCGAAGCCCACTGAATTGTGAGATATTTTTCAGCGGCGACTTGGCCACATATGACAACTCATGGAAGTGGCTTATGTCATCACGCGTGTGACTTTGCAGCAGCCAAATAATCTAAAACGCACGTCACGCGACCTCCTTTGCCAGTACCAAAATATGAGAATAGGTTTTCCTCTTTTTTTCTGGCAACAAAACAGCTGCGTTAAGATGTTAAAACACCAAACTGAAACCTTTTTCGGAACCAAAAAAAACGTGAGAAAGCCCACACGACCACGAGGAGAGAGGTCACGCCAACGCCAAACACACAGACGTCAGGGTTAGGATCGCACCCACAACCTCCACCATTCGAGGCGAGGGAGATAACGACACCGGTGTGACCCTCGAGGTTCGCGCAATGCGTCGTGACGCCAGTCAGCGCAACTCAAGCACCGCGTCACCGTGTCGCCTACACGCCTCTTGAACGTCGCGTGGCCCCAGCACGGGTCAGATGTACGAGTGGAAAAAGAGGGATAGGGTCCTCTCTGCTAACCCCCCTCCCCACGCCGATACGCAAATGAGGCTCCATTCTCTGAGCATGCCGTTTCCTCCATCCGCGTACCCTACTCTGGGTGGCATGCCGTGGCTGAGAAGCGATGTTTTAATTAAGCATTGTTTTACACGGAGTGTAACGTAGTCATGCTTCGGAGAGGGTGCGTGAAGCTACTTTTTTTTGGTACATTTCCCACCGCGTAGTTCTTTAGGCTGTGACCAAATCATCCGATCTTGTCAGTTGTCGGAAGCTAAGCGGGCCTGAGCCTGGACGTGGCTTGGATTGGCAACCATTAGCATGCATACCAGATATGATAGGCTGCGAGGGTATGTACTGGGCAGCAGTGGGCAGTGTTGTACAATCAATTATTGTACTGTAATTATATGCTACAGCATCTTTGCCAATCCACAGTGGCCTGCATGGCGAAGTATGGCCAAGAAAAGCCACATAAATTGCAGGGCATTGAGAGGCCCTCATCCAGCAGTGGATTAACCAAAAGGGGGGCCGCACATCTAACCTGTGCACACGGCGTCGGCGCGTGTGTGCGGTTCGTGTACTGAATATGAACAAAAAAACAACAACCAGTGAACGTTGCACTGGGCCTGTGAAAGTAAGACACGCGTTGGATCATCGGTGAGGTTATCGTGTGAAGCAATAGGCCAATACGCAAGCACCGTGCGTGGCTGTATTCCCACCAAGGGCAGGCCCTCCGCCGAAATCCTGCGATTTAATCCGAGCGGCTCAAGCCTCTGTGTTTAATTAAGTCATCTATTGACTTATCGCTTAACTATACGGCACCTGGGTGAAGGGTGCGGGCGGGAAGCTCGGTTTGATTCTAAATAACCCGAGGGATTAATTAAACTCCACTTTAATTACCAGGATAAGCCAGGCCAGATTTATATATATATATTACCACTGGTGAACCACCCCCAATGTCACGGATGGCCACAAAGTTCAAAGTTCATTTATTAGGTATAGCCCTGTGAGCCATTCGGCTCTTGAATCGGGTGCAACCGCAACAAACCAAAAACAAAAACATGAACAAGAAAACCTCTGAAAGTGACTATGTGCAAACAGAAAATCCAAGAAAAGACAGCAAAATATTATAGAAAAAATCACCGTACACCAACCCTGTGCAAATATCCCAGTAGGATGCAAGTAAAACAACAACAACAACCACAAGACAACTTAGATTAAGGCCATCAGTTTAACTCTGTACTACAACAAACATGGCCAAACCAAAACACTTTTCGAAAATCACCAAAATAAAGCCATTAAAGCAATGAAACAGTGGTCATAGAAACTGTGACCGAATTTTCACAATAAGCGACGTTAACAACATGTACTACCAAACTCTGCAGCTATAGCTGGCTGCATGAGTCACTCCACAACTGTAGGAGCATCAGTCGGAGTATCAACATTTCTTTTTTAGTTCGACACGTCATTCGGTGAGTCGCTCACCGCGCCTGCCTTGCGTCCGCGCGATGTTGGCGAGTTCAAGGGGGGTGCTGCTTGCTGCTGTCGTCCGTTGGTGGTTTCCGAGCCAGTGATGGGAAACTCCACATCGAAGTGGCTGGGATATGAACTCACGGGCTCTGTGATTGTGAGTGGAGAGCTGGAGCAGAGAACCACCTGGCCGGCATTAAAAGAAAACCGCTTTTGTCATTTTTCCCCCGAATTTCGTGCTATCGGCGTCACGTCATGCGATGAAAAGGCCATTTGGAAAATCTCGCACGGCAGTGCAATCGTCTGTGTTAGAGAACAGCCCACGGAAGCGGATATTACAGAGCTACCTCTGAGATCCCTCCGCGTGACTTCTGATCCACACACCAGTAGAGGGCAGCACTTTCCCACTCACTCTACAACACGACGGCACTTTTTTAAATCCTTTATTAAATCCTTTATATTAAGTTCACTTGCTTGCTTGCTTGCGCGCTTACGACCGTGCAAATCTTTCGGTCGCTTTTTAACCCACTTCCCGTGACCCAATCGAGCTGACATTTTGCACACAGACTCGTTGTGCGTGATAATGTATTTTGAAAACATTTCCAAAATGTTACACTTTTTAGGAAAAAAAATATATATTTAATTACCAATTGCTTAATGGTGGCAGGCAATCATCTGACCCATAGGTGGCAGCCATCTCAAGCCAGAGGACGAGAGGACTCTAGCCGCCACGCATATAAAGGATTTATAGTGAAAAACTTTGTTTTTACGGGTTAATTTTTTTTTTGAGTTAAATTCTCCAAGCTGGAATGTAGCCAAATTAAGTGCAGAACCAAACTTAAGGTGATGATTTTTGTGTGTGCGTGCAGTCATTGACGGCTGCGCTGACTCGCATTCCCCAGGGAGGGACCATCACATGTATCAATCACAACAATATTTCACGCAATTGAAAGCTTTAAAATGACCTAAAACTTAAGTCTACTTGCTGTACTCCATCCTACAAGCAACCGATCTGCCCCTGCAAGGATAATTGTTTCGCATGCTTAATGATGCCCGCGTGATCCAGGTTGATGATCCAGTACTCACTGATTCGCTGCAGTCAATCGCTCATTGCTGGTCAGTCGCCTCCTCATCACTCTTCTATCGCTACTACCAGAGTCACTGTGTTCTCTTGAAATTCACTCGTTGAGAACTCACTCCACCAAACGCACGACTGTTCCGTCTCATCCACAGCACCGTGTTCAACCGCCACACCGCGGGTCACGACAAGGCACACCAAACTCACCCAACCGCTCACCCAACCGCTCACCCAATGGCTCAACCGCTCACTCACCGCACAACGATGATGGACAGAGGCAGAGCTAGAAACTCGCCTGGGGGCGGGCGGTGGCGGTCCCAAACTGTCAAGCTTTTTAAATATGGCCATACATTAATAATACAATGTTTCATTTCTGGTAAATATCAGCAGAAAAACACCAATTTTAATGGGTCTCAAAGACGGGCAGGGGGGGGGGGTCCACCACTAGAGATAGTGCTGTTTGTTGCTGGCCGTTTGGCATTACGAGCCTTTGGACCTGTGTGCTCAGCGAATGCGTGTACAATGTATTTCCATCTTCTTGGTTCTTTCGGTAAAGTCACGTAGAAGGGAAGTAATAAAATAATAAAAATAAAACATAATAAATAAATCTCACGACGTCAGACGCTGTCTCCCCGACAGACCTGGTCTTCACCTGAGGACGGCTGCTTGCGTTGTGGCCGAAACGTCGTGAGAATTATTTTATTATGTTTTATTTTTTTATTACTTCCCTTCTACGTGACTTTACCGAAAGAACCAAGAAAGATGAATCCCTGCAGTCACGAAAGCTTTAAATCGAAATTTATTTCCAATGTATTAGAAAAAAAAAATCCACCAACCCTACTTCCAAAATGCACGATAGCAAGAGGCGCTCGCTCGCTCGCTCGCTCTTTCTTGCGCCTGACCCCTCACTCTCGAGACGCGGTGAACATGAAAGGTGGAGCGTGGAGGGGCCGTGAGGAATGGATTTTCAGAAACCCTGTTATAGACCGTACCGGCATGATGAAATTATCGAGCCAAACCTCTGCTTAGCCGTAAGCAGTGCATTTTTTGCTCGGGGGGGTGAGGGTGGGTGGGGGGGGATGGGCGACGATGTGGCTTTTTCGCTGGCTGGATTTTTGAAAATTTGAAAATGTCTGCACACGGGCCAACTTGCGACGGTGGAATGGCTAAGTGTGTTGTGTTCTCGCACGGGTAAGGCGTGCGCTGCTCAATTACAATCGTGTCAGAGCCACACCTTCGTGTGGGCAAAACAGACGGCGTGCCGACGGCACTGAACATTTTATTCCACCGCGAGTCGTCTCGGAGCGTACACTTAATCAATTGTGTCACTGTCACAGTCTGCATAATCACAACGGCGGCACCAGCAACAATAATCATCATCATCACCACCAACGCAATAGTTCTCTATCCAGCAGAGCCTTAAGCGACTCGGGTTCTCAGAACACTTTTTTTTTCAACGACATTGTTTTGCGAGGGAAGTGCGTCCCAATTTATTCTTCCGTGCGAGGAGCGGCAACAAGACAGGGAGTCACATGTGCAGGGCGTCTTTCATCCGCAGATCCCGCAAGTTTATCCCGTGCGCGTCACGTGAAAGCTTGCCTTCCTCCGAGAGACACGTGTCTGGGACGCAACATGGGAAGAGGAATAGCTTGCAATACCAGAAGAGGGGGCCTCTATACATGCGTCACGTGCCTGTCTGAAATGGCAACGCCGTCGCCTGGTACGCAGGAGGTTGTGGGTTCTGATCCCGACCCTGACGCCTGTACGTTTGTAATTGACGTGTTCTCCCCGTGGTCGCGTGGATTTTTCTCCGGGTCTTCCGGGTTTTACCTCCACATTTCGAAGTACGTGCATTTAGAGTGTTTGGCTGCTGTACGTTTACACGCGATACGCCACTTCGTTGAGCTATCATTTGTGACCAGTTAAATAGCTCAGTGGCCCTTGCCTGGTAAAATAAAAAAAAATTGCTTAGTTTAGTTTTGGTGTTTTATTATTAATCACTCATCCCTCAACCCTTGTACGCCTATGCCAACTAATTAATTCCATTCTGTCATCGCGTTGTAAGCTACGTCAAGCGCCTCGGGTGAAGGCGCTCTACAAATATGAAGTAAATTATCATCATCATTATCACTACGCAAATGGACTGAAACAAACAACCGTAACTACGAATGTCTCGAGAAAACCTACAGATGCCGTCGGACCTCAACAAGAGGATGCTTCTGGGAGAAGGCAACCCGAGCGCGACACCAAACTGTAGCCCCACGAAGTTGCGGACACGTGTGCAGATTGCTGAGATGTTGTGCAGAGTGAGAAGTCTCGCTCCAGATACGCGCGCGCTTGCTATGGGCACTTCGCTCTCTTCCGACAAATGCGAAGCGCTCGAGAAGAACCCGCCGGACAGAATAAGCCTTGAGACACAGCGAGGCTTTGCATGGCGGAGGGAGATTAAAAAAGAAAAGGTTGAAAACTAACATATCTTGATTTAAAATTTCTTCCTGTGGATTTCACACCTGATGATGATTGCTTGTGTTGCAGTCGAAACGTCGCGAGAATTTTTATTGTTTCATATTAATATTATTTTATTTTTTCCCTTCTACGTGACTTTACCGAAAGAACCAAGAATAAAACTAACATTTCGTGTAAAACTGGCGTCACGGTGAACTCAGGATCCAATAGTTACCGACTTGCGACTAAGGCCCAGGACACTCCGCGCGTCTCCTCGCATCGGGCAGGGTCCGTCGCTAGTAGGGGCGACGGCGGCCTGTGGTTCGAGATTGACGATGGGGTGTGTGTGTGTATGTTGAAACACCATTGGAACCTCATTTGCCAGTAGAAAAATATAACAATTGTTTTTTTCCCCTTTTATCTGGCAACAAAACTGACACCTTTTTTGCATTACGACTGCAGGTATTGTGGTCTATGCAAACATGACTCCTTGTAAAAAAGGTGTCAGTTTTGTTTGCCAGATAAAAGGGTAAAACACCAATTATCATATGTTGAAACAGTTTCGCAACGTACGTAGCCCACTGTGGTAATCGGAGTAGCGGGGAAAAGACACGCAACTAACACACACCAGGCACCCCAAAGGAAGGGGAACTCTGCCGAGAGGACATCCGCTCCGCGGGTGTAGTCAGCTCGTGTTCAGCGGTAAACAGATCATTGGCTGATGATGGTGATGGTATCATGATGATAATAATGGGTTTGTGTCCAACAAAACGACGTAAATAAATGGTCTGTTTTATAATTTTAAGAAATGTTGCTCAATGTTTCAGCTGGTAGGCCTTCATGAAAGACATGGACAGACACTTGGTTATGCACAGTGGAATTTTTCAGGATATATATTAAACAAAAAACTCCCTACTCTTAGTTCTTTCGGTAAAGTCACGTAGGTAAAAAATGAAATTAAAATTAATAAAAAAAAAATCACGACGTTTCAGAGGCAACACAAGTCTCCGTCATCAGGTGGGACCGTCACAGCCAGATTTGCTGCATCAAGTGAAAAAAAAAAACTCCCTGACTGCCAAGTTACCCAAGAATAAATGCACATCATCATCATCAGCAGCAGCCATGATCAATCTACTGCTGGATGAAGGCCTCCCCAACTTGCCACTATATCTCTAGATCATGCCATTTAATAAATCACCTTGTACTGTATCCGCACACGAGCTGATTGCATCGCTCCATCTCCTCTGTGGATGTCCTCTCATGCACGCTCCGTGCATTGGCTAAATCGAGTATCTCCAGCACTGTTGCTGCATTTCTCCCCATACACACGGGTGTATGACAACACACACACTGACATTCAGATACATTTAGCGCCCGCAGCAACAAATTAGAATTGACTCCTCTAATCCTCAAAAAGGCACATACTAGGAAGAATCCATCCATGAGTTTTCATGCTTGCAGATAATAGGAGTTGTGGATAGTTGGGTCGCACATAAGAGGCAATCCGCTGTGTATATGGAATTGAACCGCGCTCATTTCCATCGGCAGCGATCATCACAAGTAAAAATTCTGCATTCACATGGCAGGGCCAGTCTGACCATGCGACAACCGCTGTGACTACTCACGAAGTGCTCCTCTGTTTACCCCAAAGAGGGTGATGGGCGGATTCAGCCCCCCATTTGGGATTTGAACCCTCAACCTTCCAACTGTGAGTGGCGTCGAGTGATCGATAAGGCTCAGTGGTTTTCTCTCATTTGTGAAAGAAATAATATATATATAGACCTATCACGTGCTGGCATATGATTGCAGAGATTTAATTTTTCCTTCTTTTTTTCCCAACATCAAATGGTTTAAACCCCAACCATAATTATATAGATAACCCAGCCGCAATTGGCAGTTGCACATGTTTGGTGGAATAGGAAACTGCAGAGCGGTGATAAGAGCAGGGTAGGCCTCACACAGCTGCATAATCAGAGGGATCAGGCCTACCTCTGATGTTTATAAAACCCAGTGGTGGTAATTGCTTTATTTCAACATTGTGTCTCATGGCGCTTTACAATAAACAGAGCGGCAGAATGACACCTCTGGGCTGATCACAGCTGGAGCAAAATAAACGTGGTCGTGCAATGAGCATCTGTAACATAATCATCATAAAATATATATTATTAGACTTAAAATACAGCACGGGAATAGGGATGCTGCCTGCACTGTTTAACGGTTCGCACGTTTGACTTGCGATTGAGAATGTTGCCGGCTTCGATTCTATCTCCCGGTGTGGCGGTTGAAGCGATGGGGTGAATTCTTCCCCCTGTCCAACCAGCAGTGTAAACGGGTAGCCAAGTTCGTTGATCGGCAGGTTGCGGAGTAAAGTGTGGGTACTCCCATCCCTTTTTCAAAGATGTCTGGCCATCTACATCATGGGGACCTCCTTTGCCAATACCAAAATATGAGAATAGGTTTTCCCCTTTTTTATGGCAACAAAACAGTTGTGTTAAGATGTTAAAACACCAAAATGAAACCTTTATCAATGAATCACGTCTTCATTAACCACAATACTTGTGGTCAGAATACAAACAAAAAACGTACTCTGATAATATTTGCATTGTCTTTGAAACTGATTGGTCCACACCAGAGACGCCAAAAGGCGTCCTCTGGTCTAACACCGTTTTGAGACTAGGCTCAAAAGAAAGCTGTCTCTGGTG